ATTTTGGGTTGAGGGCTACGTTTTCAGGGCTTATAGGGTTTGAGGGTTAAGGTCCGGGGTGTAGGCTTTTGGGCTTAGGGTTTAAACTTCTAGAATTCCAGGTTTATGGTTACTTGAACTCATCATCTTGACAATCACAGCACAGAGAAGAAAAGTCCATTGCAGGCGCCAGGGGGACTACTATTGCTTTATGCGGAAGCACATGCCTCGCTTGCTGAGGCAGGAAAGAATATCTTGTGGCCGCTTAGGCTGAGAGGTCAGGACCTTGAGGGTGGAGGGTTGGAGCATCTAGGTGTTGGGATTTTTGGTTTTGCTGCTTCGCTGCATGTATACAGCCCATCTGGGAATTTGGTTTAGTGCTAAGGCTGTTTGGTGTCCAAAGGAGTTGAACCATTGTCTTTAATTATGATCTCACACCCCGTGTATGACCCAATAAATCTGCCATAGGCCAAATCGGATCGACATGTGATCTCGTGTCTGATAAATCTGCTTCCAAACAACCCTTCGAACGCCCCGCAGGTGCCCCGAGTTAAAACCCCTCAGCCCTAACCCCCGTGTAGAGCCCTTATCAACAAACTCCCTTCCTTCAGGCCCTTGGCTCCAAGTCCCCAAAACCATATGGACCTTCTAAACCGTACCAACCTATAGGCTGTAAACCATAAGCCCCAAACCGTCCGGAACCCTGTGACGCATTAGCCCCATGGGGCTCCAAATAGAAGCACAACATAAATCACAACATCGGATGGTACATCCCATTTACTTCTGCTTATAGTCAAGCCCAGTAAGGTAGGGATACCCTTGCAAAATGCTCATAATCCATCCTTGGGCTCCCCACTGTAGACCCTAAACCCAAACGGCCGTTTGAACCCTAAACCCTAAACGGCCCTGTAAATTCTGAACCCTAAACGGCCCTAAACCCTAAGCCCTAAACGGCCCTAAACCCTAAACCTTAAACGCAAAACCCAGTACCACCCCAAGCGCCCCCACCCACAAGCCCGAGGTTCTCCGTCGCCGGGCCGTTTGCCTGGAGAACTGGGAAGGCGCGCCTTGAGAGTTCGAAGAGATCCGAAAGGGATTCTTGAGGGTTGAGGGTTTAAGGTTTAAGGTGAGGGGTAGAAAATGTTGTACTTATGCAATGTAAAGAATATTGGAGTATAAGTATATATATATATACACATGTATGTATATAGTATATATGTTATATATAGGTTTTAAAGGGGTTCGTATATGGGTATTCTAAGCAGAGCTTTTTTCAAACATCGGTACATGGAGCCTCTTCTGAAGATATATGTGTTGTAGTATGTACTTGTATGTTATGGTATATGACCGTCCTATAAGGGCTTTATATGTGGGCTGCGTCAAGTTCAAGGTTTTTGTGCGGATTTCAATGTAAACGCTTGATCGGTAAACTACCTCTTTGGAGCGCATGCATATTCGAAGCCTGATCGATGACAGCGCATGCTTAGGGAGTGGGGTGTCATAGTACTTTTGGGGTTCCTGCTTATAGTTATATTATAATATACCCCAAAACCCTCTTCGAATTATTAAGGCCCCTACATTAGGGTTTAGGGTTTGGGTTTGGGTTTGTTGTTGTTTCTGTGTTTGGGGTTTCGGGCTCAAAGCTTCAAAGCCCAGGATTGGGCGCCGGGTTTAGGGTTTAGGGTTTAATGTAGGGGCTTTATTAATTACAAATATTTTTTTTTTTTGGGGGGGGGTTCCGTATTATGACTATAGTACAATATGCTCCCAAACCATAGTCTTATTATTAATGCCCCTACATTAGGTGCTTGTGTGGCCTCTAGAGTTTGCTTTGCATCACACTTTGCAGAGGACTGATATGATTGTGTCAATGCTGGTTGGTCCTGCGCCTATGGATTGAGTTTCCCTTATTGTGCTCTACCTTGGGGACCAAATGACCCTTACAAGCAGGGGTCTATACTCATAGACCATATGAACCGGAAACCCTTTTAGGGTTCATTTCGTCCTTAAGGGAGCCCAGTGGGTTTTGAGATCTTGTTACCGTGCCGTCTAGACGAAAGGCTTCTGAGAACTGGTTCCTTCGCGCTGAAAATCCGGTTGGTTACGACTTAGAATCCGAGGGTCTGGGCTTAAGGTTTCAGGTCTATCTTAATCAGCGGTAGCATACCTTTCAATTCAACTCCACGAATGGATATTCAAAGGCTCAGCATGCAGAGTGCCTCGTTCCTTGACAAGCGTCAGCCTCGCAGCCTTATCAGTTTGTCCTAAACTCAGAGTTGGGATCTATTTGGAAAATCCTTGCCTTCGGAAATGCCGAAAGCACATTCCCCGCCTGATTCCTCGCTGCTGCCCCGAACTCCTCGAGTTTCATTGCTCCGTCCAGTGTGCGGCGACAGTTAAAAGTATGTACTACTTTGCAATTTCCCGGAGCTTTCCTCTACCACAGCTTAAAAACCGAAGTTTCTACTTGTTACCAAAGCCCCTTAGATTAAACCCCCTAGTCCCTGATAGAAACCCTAAGCCCCTAACCCTTAAACGCCCTACCTAGTCCTCGATCGACCCGGAACTGTAGAGAAGCCCTAACTTTAAAGCAACCTCAAGACATCCCCATAGTCCCTGATAGAAACCCTAAACCCTAAACGCTTAAACGCCCTAGTCCCTGATAGACCAGGAACTATAGAGAGTCCTAACTTGAACGGATGCTAACTGGAAAGGAACGCAAAGACCTCCTTTAAAGGAATCCTGCTGTAACTTTTCCGACACGGTTCAGGGTGTAGGGTTTCGTAAAGGGTTCAGTCCAACCCCAAACCCTAAACCTTTTTCGACACTTCTAGTACAATACAGCGGCAAGGGTGGCCAGCTGCAATGGCCACGATCTGAGTTTTCCGTTGCCTTATACTTTGGGTTTAGGGTTTACGGGAGGTCCAGGGGACTTCGTAAGTCGGTTATAAGTAGGGTTATAGTTGGGGTAGCTCCATTTAGGGTACTCATAACTCTTCTTATAACATACTGACTAAGTCCCCTCGCCCTCCAAGTAAGGACGGAAGCTACCCCAAAGGGTTTGAAGCCTCATTTCCCGTCTAGGGATTCGTAGTTGAGGGTATAGGGCCACTACTTAGTCCTACTTAAGTGCCCCGTCGTCCATGGAGTGTAATGTAATTTACGAATTTAGGATGTTGAGGTTAAGGGTTTTAGGGGTGTTTCTCGGATTTTAGAATTTAGGGTATACAGGGTTTAGGGTTTAGGGTGTGGCCCCCTGTCCTTCGATAAGGAGTGCAAGAGAGATGCGAACATAAGGTCCTTTAAAGAAAGGCGGTTGATGAATCAAGGGTCTGTGGTAATTCTAACGTTGTCAAAATACGTCCTTTCAAATTATTTGGGTTTACGGGAACTTCAAATAAGGAGCTCCCACATCCCCGGAGCTATACACCAGAGATCCCTTGATCTTTGATGCATGTCCTGGACGTTTGGCTGGCCACCTGCGCCGGGCCAAATTTGTTGTGTTTGTTCTTGACGCAGGCTGCAGGACTTAGGCCTAGAGGGTCCTAAACTGTCCGAATGACCCCGATGCTTCTGGCCCTGCCCGAGGCAGGATGGCTTTGGAATGGCCCGATGAAGGGTACACACAAGTCCAGGCCGAGCAGCTTTTGCCACCAGGCTTCAAAATCAGCAAGGAAATACGCTGGCATCATCGGTGGAAGCTTACTTATCCCGACGACTCGGAATCATGCGACGACTTTCCCGGTTGATGTCTATGTCCGATAAACCCTAGACCCTAAACCCTAAACCCTAAACCGATGCGTGTACAGCCGCGAGACGGGCCAACCATGCCCGTTCGACCTCAGCGGGTTCTCGGGTTGCTTCTACCATGCATCCTCAACCCCAAACCCTAAGGGTCCAAAGGACCCAATAATGAGGTACTTTGGTTGCGGATAGTAGTTTTCTAGCTTAATATTAGGGAGAGTATATGATTATTAGGTACTTGGACCCTTAGGGCAAACCCTAATCCCGAAGCTTGTTTCTAGTTGGCATTTCTTGTGGGTCTAGGGCTTTGGGGTTTAGGGGTTTAGGGTTTAATTGCGGGTATGGAAGGCCTCGTCTGTTCAGCATTTGAGGGTTCGCCGAGTTTGTACGGACGCTCTAAGCCCCTCAACCCTATAAACCCTAAAACTTCTAAACACCTGCACACCCTAAGCCCTAAACCCTCAAACCCGTAAACCCCTCAACCCCTCAACCTTCAACCCTCAAACCCCTCAGCTTTAACCCCTTAACCCCATAAACCCAAAACTCCTAAGCCCCTGAGCCCTAAACCCCATAAGCCCACGTAGGACCCCTTTATACCCTAAACTCCCCACCTGTAGTTTCCTTTAACTACACGGAACCCTATATACCCTGAACCCCAAAACCCTTTCCCCCTATAAACCCCTATAAAGAATAAAGCCCTAAAGACCCTTTTAAGCCCTAAACCTCGAAACCCTATAAGCCCTATAAAGCCCTAAACACCCTTTCAAACCCTAAACCTCGAAACCCTATAAGCCCTATAAAGCCCTAAACACCCTTTTAAGCCCTAAACCTCGAAACCCTATTATAAACCCTATGAAACCCTAAACACCCTTTTAAGCCCTAAGCCCCTAAACCCTATAAACCGTATGAAGCCCTAAACACCCTTTTAAGCCCTAAACCCCTAAACCCTATAAATCCTATAAAACCCTCAACACCCTTTTAAGCCCTAAACCCCTAAACATCCTATAAACCCCTATAAAGCCCTAAAACACCCTTTTAAGCCCTAAGCCCCTAAACCCTATAAACCCTATGAAGCCCTAAGCCCCTAAACCCTATAAGCCCGATAAGCCCTGTTAAACCCTATAAACCCTATAAACCCTATCAAGCCCTAAACATCCTATAAACCCCCTATAAAGCCCTAAAACACCCTTTTAAGCCCTAAACGGTCGCCAAACCCTAAACCCTAAACCCTTAAAAAAAAAACTAAACCCTAAGCCCTAAACGGTTACCTCTCCAAGGCGCTCAGCGCTGCACGGCGCCTTGCGGAAAATCCGCGAGGCGCTGCGGCCGCATCGCTGCAGGCCACCCCCCCAGGGCTTCCCCAAAGGGTCCTAGTTATAGGGGGTTTAGGGCTTTAGGGGTTTAGGGTTTAGGGTTTAGGGCTTTAGGGGTTTAGGGTTTAGGGTTTAGGGTTTGGGGTTTTAGGGTTTAGGGTTTAGGGTTTAGGGTTTACCCTACCTTGAAACTTTTTGGGTTCTTATACTTTAGTAGTAATCTGAAAGTTTAACCTTCATGTCTCTGGCTTATTGGGAAAGTAAGGGGCTCCAGTTTACTTAAAACGCTTCTTGAGGGTTTAGGGTTTAGGGTTTACGGTTTAGGGTTTAGGGTTTAGGGTTTAGGGTGCACGGTTTAAGGTTTAGGGTTTGGGGTTTAGGGTTTAGGGTTGAAGGTGAGGGGTAAGGCTCCCTGTGCCTATATAGTTTATCATGTTTATGCCTATATAGTTTATCACAAACATGTATCAGTATGTATGAGTAGATGGGTCCAGGGTTTAGGGTTCAGGGGTTTTAGAGTTAGTTACCTAAATGATGGGTCACTGTTCAGGGTTTAGGGGTTTAGGGTTAATTGCATGCTTCTATAATAGATGGTAAGTAACCTACTATTTAAGTTATTGGTGCCAGTATCTATGCAGTGACATGTGGGTCTTTCTCTCCCCCTTTATCTCTCTCTGTCTGTCTCTCTCTCTGTCTCTCTCTCTCTCACTCAGACTCTCTTTGTCTGAGTCTCCCTCATGGTCGCTCGCCCTTTTGCTCTCTCTCTCTCTCTCTCTCTCTCTCGCTCTCTTTCTTTCTCTCATTTTTTGATAACTATTTTGCAAATATTTATGAGTTCGTAAAAAGATCAAAGGATCAATAGATGGCATATATATATACACACATGACATACGCACTTTGTATTTTTCAATCTAATGTTGTGAGAACCGTCGGGTAAGCTGGTGCAGATACACATGAGATCGCATGGGGTCCATACGAATGTCTATACATAGATACTATGTATGTAGAGAGTCGGGTAGACAGATAGACGAAGCCAGTAAACCAGTAAATCAATATGCAAATTGCGTCCAAGTATGTCCCTTTCTGTGTGTGTGTGCGCATATTACTGCTGCCGACTGCCATGGTGCTGCTTGGTGATTACGATTGTTACTCGTATCATGGCTGCTGACGTGGCTTGTGGCCTCTCTTAGAGTTGCGGTCGTGGTTCTCAGACAGTAATATAGGGGCCTTAATAATTCGGATAGGGTTTTGGAGGGTCTTACACTATAATTATCATAAGGAACCCCACAAACCCTATTCTAATTATTATATCAAGGCCCCTACATTAGTGCTTCAGTCGTCTTAGTAGTCGGCAGGCTTCGATGACATCTCAAGCCAACATCCACGGTTCACAATCCCTAAGGGTCCATGTACCCAAATAGTAGAACATTGGCCCTAATGTAGTCCCTATATGGGTACCCTAGGGCCAATGTTCTACTATTTGGGTACATGGACCCTTAGGGAATAGTGTATTTCGGTCTAGGCGGTCATTCCAAAGGCCCCGAAAATATTTCGTCCTCAACTGAACCTTCTATCCCCCCCAAGCGACCCTGCTCTATCCTGGGGGCACTCATAGGTTGATATACATATAGTCTTGGAGAAGTTCATGAGAAGTCTCCGTATTTTGCATCGGTCCATCAGGTGTTGGGAACGTGCCTATATTCGTTCAAGTCTTGTACATATCTGTAGCCATAATACCACCATACCCTCCTCCAAACATCTAATACTGAGATCATGCGGAAACCTTGCAGCCCCCAAAATCGTTCCTACACATGATCTTCCGATCAGAAAACAAGGGGCGCTGTCCACAGCTTCAGCCCGAGATTCAGCCGTAAACTCGAGACTGTTGCAGGCGGCGGCACGGGCATTCAGTTCTGCAGGAGAGCATGTGCCTTCGCTGAGCTTGTCCTCGGGGTTAGAGTTTAGTAGGTGTTAGGGATTCAGGGTTCCAGGCTGCTTAGAAGTATTCGCCGGTTTTGCCGGACACTTGCAAGTGGTTCCACCGCTATGCTTCTTTTGCAGAAGTATGGGTCTATGTCGTACCTTAAGAACCCAAAACCCACTTTTTTGTAGGTTCTTATTATAAACCCTAATACGGGATTTATAGGGACCCTACAAACAAGTAGGTTTTGGGTTCTCTACGACTCTACGACCCGTCGCCGCTGCCGCAGCAACTCTGGTGCGAATCTCACGGAACCTGAAAGTAAAGCAAACCACCGTGGATACAGAGGTATGAATCGTCTGTAAGTTTTAATTCCTTTCCTTAGGGATACCTCAAATGTAGACTAGACCCTAAACCCTAAACCCTAAACCCTAAACCCTAAACCCTAAACCCTAAACCCTAAACCCTGAACAGAACATATTCTGATTTTACAGGTCCCTACATTGAAACCCTTGAATACGGGAGCCTCAACCACAAGTTCCGATGTAATCATAGTGTAAGCCCCAAACCCTATACCTAAAGCCATAATACAAACCCTAGTATCCCTAAACCCAAAACCCTAAACCCTAAGCCCTAGTATGAACCCTGGTTTGAGCTTTCAACCCGAAACCCTCTTACGGTTTCCTTCTTCAAGCCAGGCAAGAGAGTTAGAACAAAATTATCCCCAAAGTTTAGCGGTTTAGGGTTTAGGGTAGGGGATCTCAGCACAAATCATCCTAACAACTTTGTGGGATTTACTCTAGGTTTCTGCCAGCAACAATTAAACCCCAAATTAGCCTTAAACCGGGCTTACGAGGGTTTAGGGTTCAGGGTTTAGGGTCTAGGGTATAGGGTTTAGGATTTGGGGTTCAGGGTTTAGAGCTTAGGGCGCCAGGCTTAGTGTTTAGGGTGTTGGCCCAGACCTTCCAATGTCCCTTCAATGCAGGAATATATACCACTTTAATCATAGTCGGGATCCGACTATAAGCCCTAAAATAAACCCTAAACCCCAAACGGTAACGGAGACCTTAAAGCAACATCGGGATCCTACTATAATTGAGGCAACTTCCTGAATTAAGGGATATCGGAAAGTGCGGGAGGTCTACTCGGATTTCAGGTTTAGGTTTTAGGGTTCCTAGACCTCAGCTCCGGAACCCTAAACCCTAAACCCTAAACCCTAACCTTGGCCGAGGCTCTCGCATCGGAGCTGCTTCTTTCTCTCCGCGACGGCGGCGTAGACCGTGAGGCCTTCGGCAGCTCTGCTCAGGATTTAGGGTTCAGGTCCAGATTTTAAGGTTTAGGGTTTAAGGTTGAGGGTGTCGGGTGGTTTCAGAAAGTGGACTTAAGCCGTGCGGATGAGTTCGGATAGTTGTTCATGGGCATTTCGGAGTGAATTGGTCTTGGGAAAGGTGTTTGCTGTGGTTTTGGAGAGGTTTCAACAGCTTTTTTAATTACCGCATTTTTGTGTGTGGATGTAAGGGTGTTTCAAGACTTACTGTTCTGGGCACCATACTTAGGGGTTTATTGGGGCTTTTGTGGTGGCTATTTTTCGGGTGTCCTAGCATTCTTGTCACCTGGTCTAGAAGTTCCAGTTTTAGAAGAGATTCAAAGTAAAATGGTGGCATGAGATGAAAGGCCAGGGCAGTGATGTATTTGTTTGAACTCTTTTGTAAGTTGATTGCGGCCATCATACTTAGACTGCTCTTGGGGACGTGTTTGGTTCGTTCCTGTTTGGCTTATGGTTTCCTTCAGAGCGATCTCGAAGCATACCTATAGTCTCCATCATAGTTCCTTTTTGTTGGTTTAACCAGTTCTGTATTAAGGATCCGAAAAAATAACCCCAAAAAGGAACTACAATGGAGACTATAGGTATTTGCGTAGCCTTGGAAGGGGAAACTGGTCACGACGATGGCCCTGGCGACGTACGATGAAGCTGATGTTGTACGGTCAGCAAAGGCTAAAGTATAAGTACTAGCATGAGTGATGGTGCCGCAGGATATCTATCGGGGAGCTCTAAACCCTTAACCCCACCTAGTCGAACCCTAAACCGCATATAGTCACAGAGCCCCAGTCCCACGCCTAAACCCTGAACCTTATGATTCGAACCGGATACCATAAGCCCCAAAACTCTAAACTGTTGATGATATAAATTTTGCCTTACCTTCAGGACCCTAAACGCAACGTGTATATTCCTAAACCCTAAAGCCTAAACCCTAAAACCTCAAACCCTAAATCCCTCAAAAATCATCCTAAACCCAAATCCCTAAATCCCAAACCCTAAAACCTACAACCCTAAAGCCCGAAAACCAGCAGGACTTATATCATCAGCCCGAGGAGCCTCTGGGACAGTTGAAACCCCTCTCATGCCCTTGGAACCTTGAGTCTTCGACCCCGCCGCCCGCCCTTGCGAGCAGAACCCCGCGGGTCGAAGTCGGGAATAGGCTTTAGGGTTTAGGGTCTAGGATTTTTTAGGGTTTAGGGTTCTTAGGGTTTAGATTTTTTGTTTTAGGGTTTAGGGTTAGGTGTTGCAGCCTATTGCGTTGAACTACTCTCGCCTATGCGCCATTCGATGGCAAGCTCCCCAAAGCCTTATAGTCCTAGGTTCTATATGCTTACAAACTCCTGTAGAACCCTATCCCTATAGAACCCTATAAAGGAAAAAACATAAAACCCTCAAGTAGCTACAAAAACAATTCAAAAAAATCCTATACACCACCCAAAAACAGCTGTATTGAAATACGCTGAACCCTAAACCCTAAACCCTAAACCCTAAACCCTAAGCCCTAAACCCTAAACCCTAAACCCTAAACCCTAAACCCCAAAGGAGCCGAGCAGGTCTTAGAGCGACGCCTCGACGTCGGCTCGGCCTCGGCCCTCTTCGAAGAGGTGGCGGTCCGAGCAGGCCGGCGGGTTCCTTTAAAGGACTCCTTTAAGGGCTTAGGGTTTAGGGTTTAGGGTTGAGGGTTGAGGGTTTAGGGTTTAGGGTTTATAGGTTTAGGGTTTTAGGGTTTAGGGTTGAGGGTTTAGGGTTTATGGGTTTTAGGGCTTATGGGTTTGGGGTTTAGGCTTCCTTTAAAGGGCTCCTTAAGGGTTCAGGGTTTAGGCTTCCTTTAAAGGGCTCCTTAAGGGTTTGGGGTTTAGGCTTTCTTTGAAGGGCTCCTTAAGGCTTTAGGGTTTAGGGTTCCTTTAAAGGGCTCCTTAAGGGTTTAGAGTTTAGGGTTCCTTTAAAGGGCTCCTTGAGGGCTTCCCCTTGCAGGGTACTATCGGGTTTAGGGTTTAGGATCTAGGCTTTAGGGTTTAGGGTTCCTTTAAAGGGCTCCCTTTCAGGGTACCATGGGCCTTACGGTTTAGGGTTGTAGGGTTTATGGGTTTAGGGTTTAGGGTTTAGGGTTTATGGGTTTATGGGTGGTTCAAGTGAGTGAGTGAGCGAGTCGGTGAGCGAGTGAGTGAGTGAGTGAGTGAGTGAGTCACTGAGCGAGTGAGTGAGTGAGCCAGTGAGTGAGTGACCGAGTGAGCGAGTGTGTGCAGGAGCCAGTCAGCGATTGAGCAAGTGCGTGAGCGAGCAAGCAAGTGAGAAGTGAATGGGTGACTGAGCAACTGAGTGAGTGAGCGAGCGAATCGGGGGGAGGGCGCGCGCGAATCGATTTATTAGTGCACGTACAGCAACCACATGTCTTGCATCACGGGTGATGAGGAAACCTTGCAAAGCCCCTCTGTGTGCCACAAACTTTTGAATCAATACTCCTGAACGGCGCAGCGCAAGCTCGCGGGAACTGCATTTTTCTTTTCATTCATACGACATGCAACACAGGCGATGGCTTTTACGACCGACCGCAGCCGTTATCAACAAGCTTTTGCGCTCCCCTCGCCGTGCCACTTCCTCGTCTGTCCTGTTGGTCACGTGCTCGGTCGTAGACCTTGTAGTTTTACCTCATGCGTCTTCGTCTTTTCAGGTACCATGCCCGGCCCCGGCCTCAGACGGTAGCCACGGTCCCGATAATTACACCATCGTCGCATGCAGGCCCGATCTACGCAGATGCACCGGCGGTGGAGATCGACCTAGAGGCGCAGGACGAACCCGAGATGATGCTCCTGCCTCAGACCGGGTTCCCTTTTTTTTCCTGGGTGGTAGCATCTCGTAGCGGGTTCGTGCCAGGTATCCGTCCTGGTGGAAATGCAAGCACGCGGCACAGGCGCAGCACTCAGCGTAAGCGATCGGCCAGTTCCCCGGTTGGCAGGTTTACGACTGGGAACGCCTGCTGCTGTCCACCATTGACGCAGGCCAGCCTGGCTGACACGAAATCTTCGTTGCTGCACTTTCGTGCCAGGCGAGCACGTCTACACTGTCTACGAGAAGGCAGGTAATCGGCAGTACTGCTCGATAGACCTTCACTTGCTTCAGGCCGCCGCGCGCCCTGTCCACAACCAGTCCGAGCGAGCCGTCAACCTCGTGATGACACATCGGCTAAGGCCAGGTAGGGACGGTCTTGTCTTCTTACTTCGTTTTGACCGCGACTATAGGCCGTTTAAGGTTCCCTTTAATGGCTCCTTTAAGGGTTCCGTTTACGGAGGGTTCCCTTAAAGGAGTTTGAGTTCAAGTCTTAGAGCTAGTTTTAGAGTTGAGTGGTAGTTTTTTCTTTACAGTGTTCTGTAGGAGCTCTTTTAAATTAAAGGGTTCTGTAGGGCTGTTTTGTCGTGGGGGGGGTTGGGTGGTTCAGGATTCAGAGGTTCAGGTTGTTTAGGGTTTGGGGAAGTTTAGGGCTTAGGGTTTTCTGTTTGTTTCTTCATATACTGGGAGCGGGGTGATTGAAAAGGAGTGCTTGAGTTGAGGGGTTAGGGGGCTTCCTTTCCTTACGTTTGGGATGCTAGGGTTTTGGGTGTCGCGGAGCTGGGGTGGGTATAGATGGTAATTACTTGGGATTATGATGCACGCTCTGCTGCTTGCTGTGGTCCGCCTTTGCATGGACGGAGCGTGAGTCGCTCTCCTTATTCTAGTTATAACAGAAAAAACCCTAAAGCCCGTATTCTAATTATTCAGGCCCCTATATTACATGGCTTCGTCTCGGAAAGTGAGAATACGCCTACGGATTCCGTCGAAAGATGGTGATCGGCAGGGGGGTGCGATTGCTTACGTTTCATGTCAACGACAGTGTCGGGTGCTTGGCTGCAGTGCATCGCGAAGTCGACCCTGCTGGGTTTTTCTGTGTAGCCAGGGCTGTACCCATAGGCCCCATAGTAGTTCCTTTTTTGGGATTACCTTATAGGATTCTCTGTATGAACCCCAAAAAGGAACTACTTTAGGGCCTATGGGTATGTTGCCGGATTGGGTTTCGACCTGAGCCATCAGCGAGCCCTTCGCTTTCATAGCCGGCCGGGTGCTGTTGTGTTGCGTGGCAGGTTTAAACTCTGTGTGGTTAATCACGGCTTGGGCTGTTACGCTCAGTTCAAGGTTGAGGACTTTCTGGTAGGTTTGTGTCATAGGGTGTAAACCACGTAGGATGTTAGGACGGAAACCGCGATTTGAGTTTACATATCCTGGCGCACCCACCGCAGATGAACCTTACTACCAAACCTTAGAAACCCTAAACCCAAAACCCCTAAACCCCTAAATCCATAAACCCTAAACCCCAAACCCCGAAACCCCGAAACCCGAAACCCTAAACCCCTAAACCCTAAACCCCTAAACCCTAAACCCCTAAACCCTAAACCCCTAAACCCTAAACCCCTAAACCCTAAACCTCTACACCTTAAACCCTAAAGCCCTAAACCCCGTTTTTGTTTACAGGGCCTGAAGGGCTAGTAGTCTCGGGCGAACAAGTTTACATCTTTGCGGCTTGCTGTCCTGACTGTTTTGCTGTCTGGTGCGTAGTAGGGACTGGGGGAATGGGTTATAGGGACTACTATCAGGGACCTTAAGGGACTATCATAGGGATCCATTCCCCCATTCCCTACTAAGCGCCAGACAGTTTGGTGCTATTCGTTCGGTTCAAGGTGCGGCACTTTGATGTAGTTTCTTGACACGGCTTCAACAGCCCAAAAAGCCCTATCTGCAGCGGGGTGCCAAACAAGGGGGTTGCAGGGATACTGTTCGATTGCCGGTGAAGGACTGCAAGGCTAAACTGCAAGCCGGTAATTATTCCTCCCCTAGGAATACTGATCTCTCTTCCATCTTGATTCTTAGGACCAGTTTGGATTTGGAAGCCGTTTGCCCCTGAACCCAAAAGGTACAGATCCTAGACCCCTAAACCCTCAACCCTGTGTCCTAAATCCTAATCGTGTCACCCGAAGAAACTCCTTTTACGAGGGCACTGCCGAGCTGGCAGCAGAGATCAAGGCCCTGGAGGTGCCTTTTCCCGGAAGGGCGCCACCAGGGACTTTGAATGGGCATCCGTCTAAACGGTCCCGATTGGGTGCGGAGCGGGATCAGATCAAGAAGGAGATCGACTCCTTGAAGGAGGTCTCCTCATGGCACGAATATTTGGGTTGTCCTCCCGTGGTGCTGTACAGATGCTCCGTGGCCTTGACGCGCAACCTTCCACCAGGCACAGGCTTTTGTCCAGGACCTATACACTCCACTCGTTGCACCTTGATTCTTGACCCTTGTCGAGGCCTCCGCAGGAAGCGCCCGGCCTGATCCAGATTTTCCAGGAGAGCCTCGCCCAGCGCGGGCTGCGCATCCATGAGGTCCTTGTATACCCCATATATGCAGCCTTGTAAAGGAATCTCTGAAGGAACCCTGTTCGAAGCTTAAACCCTAAACCCAAAAACCCTAGACCCTAAACCGCAAAACCCCAAACCTTCAAAGCCAAACCCAAAACCCCAAAACCCTAAGCCCAAAAACCCTAAACCCCAAAACCCAAAAACCCCAGACCCTAAACCCCAAAACCCTATAAACCCTAAACCCCAAAGCCCTAAACCCCAAAACCCTATAAACCCAAAATCCTCAACCTTTCTCTTGCAAGGACTCGAGCTACAGGCCGCCGGTTACTTTGCGGATGCCTGGGAGGCCGGATATTTGTCGGCAGCCTCATGAAACGTGGGATGAAGGGTTTAGAGTTTAGGGCAGTTTAGGGCAGTTTAGGGTTTAGGGTTTAGGGTTTTAGAGTTTAGGGTTGAAGGTTTAGGGTTTAGGATGAAGCTAGGTAGGATTAAAACATCCTTTTTACAAGGCCTCTTATTTCGGGATTACTATATAAGGACTTAAATATTTACTGATACTATTTTGTGGCTCCTTCTTATAGTTGTCGTATAATATATCCCAAAGCCCTATTCTAATTATTATGGCCCCTCTATTACCCCACACCCTCGGAGCCCTTAGATTTTGTTCGCCTTCTCCCTGCGCTGCTATGAAGGGACCCTGAAAGGTTTAGGCCTTGTGTTGTTCAGCAAGGGCGTAGGTCCCAAGGGTCCAAAGTACCTGTATGGTAGAATGTAGGGCTTCTATATCAGGAATCCTTACTGTGATTTGGGAAAGTATCTCCCATAACNNAACAGTACCTAGGACCCTTTGGGGGTTTTAACAGTTCAGGGTTATGGTTTCTACTGTAAGCCCAAGATCCAAGTAAGCATGCTTTGATACGTTTCTGTTGGTTCTTCATGCATAGGCTCCAGCACAAACACAGGTGTTCGTGTGAACTCTCATTATTAGCAGTGCTCTCGGTGCATGTAAGATGTTTCTGATGCAGAGAGCTTTCAGAGATATACGCATGGAGAGTTTGTTGTTGGTGAAGGCTTTAACCGAGTGTTCATTCACAATTACGCCTCGCAACCCAAAGACCCAGTCCTTACACCCTAACTCCAAACCCAAAGCCCGTAGCACAAAGCCCCTAAACCCCTAAACCC